AAATCCTGCCCCAGCGCCAGGTCCTGCGCCCAGTCCTCGCTCTTTGCTTGCGCGATTGCGAGAGGTGCTAAGACAGCGCCCTGACCCCAACGGCGTGAGCAGCGTTTCGGACCCTGGGAACATCCAACGATGATGAAAATGCGTCCAAAAAACGTAATAACAGGGCTGGTTGACCAAACCCAACTGCCTCCATCGAAACTGGGCTCCCTTTGATTTTTTTGCATTTGTAACTATATTAGAAAGTCTGAGTCGGCCCCGTGCAATTTGTGCTTTCCAGCCTTGGGGCCAAATATCCTCGTTGGGGCAGATCTAAGGGCCATAGTTGAGGCTTTGAGTAAGATCCCATCTTTCGCTGCTCCCTTTGCACAACATGAGCTGCAAAACGCAGAGAGCCCCACGCCTGGCATAGCCCCCCGGGTCCGCGCGGCCGGAGCGAGCCTGGGCTGAGGCAGGGTTTGGGCAGATGCACCACCCCGCTATTAAGAAACCCCTGTTTTTTATTGGATCTGGGCTAATGAGGTTGGTTAAAGCTCCCAGGCGATGGCACAAAGCTGGCGCCTGGTGTGACTGCAACAGCGTTGGCCTTCACCTCTCCCAGATTTGCAGGCTCTGGTTGAAAACCTGCCCCAGGCGCTGGGGCCAGGTGAGCTCAGGTTTGGAAGGCAGGTTTCACCCATCCCTCTGGTCCCCGCTGGTGCCTCTGAGGTTTGTCTCTGGATCTCCTTTACATTCATGGAGGGTTCTGGTGCCTCAGAGAGCCAAGACAAACAAGGAGAGGGGTGCTGGTCGTGGGAGCCTTGGGGCCACCGATGTCCCCAGCATGGCCACCTGCCCCGCTGCCTTCTCCGGGTGGTAATAACCAGGAGTGGCCAGAGCTGTCCTGCATCATCCAGGGCTTCTCCCTGAGATGCCCATAAGATGGCGGTCCCCCAGGGCAGGAGGGATGGGCTGGCTGTGTCCTAAGTGGGGGGTCTCACCCTCCCTGGTGACAGCCCCACGCATGGGGCTCAGCAGAATTCAGGTATTTTCCCCAGTCTTTGCAACAACATGAGCTTGATGGATCACGCATGGCATAGGGAGGGTCATGGTGCCTTGAATTCGATTTCTGGGTAAATCGCCCTGTTCCCAACAGCTCTTACTTTTTGTTTTCATTCCCTGCGGAAAGCAACTGTGTTCCAAAGGTCTGTTGTCCTTTGCTGCTGACCTTTAGACTGCAGGGGCCTTCGACAGCAAGCAGCGAGCAGCTCTCCCCCAAGAGTGGGAAAGCCTGGGCAGGGAGCGTGCAGTTGCCTACACTCGCTAACCAGATGAACAGGAGTGCATGGGAGAAAGGACCTCTGGTGAAAACCTGGATGGAAAAAGAGCTTTGTTTTGGGAAGTGTGGGGTTTTGTGGGGCTAGCCCACACGCTATGGGCTCAAAAGACACCCGGCATCACGATTCCCTGAAGCCATGGTGCAGGATTCAGCACAGGCACCTCTTCCCTGCTGCTTTGGGAAAAGTGCTGTCGCCCTAAAAGGAGGGTAGAGGAATTAATACACTGAGTTTTGAGCCCCTGCGTGCATTCAGGCTGGGGAAAATCTAAAAAATCGCTGATCTCCCATATTCTCCACCTCGGGGCTATTGAACGGCATTGCATGTAGATACATATATTTAAAAAAAACCAACCCAAAGCACACGAACCAGAGAAGCGAGCGGCTGAGGAGCCACCGGTGAGGCGTGTGTGGAGGCGCAGCTACTAGAGAGGAGCGGTAGGAGCCGGGCGCCTTGTAGGGTTTTTACGGTGGAGCAGGCAGAGCTGCAGCGGCTGGGAGC